ACGCCCGGAGCACTCTGGCACCGGGAAGAGGAATGGAGAATCGGCGATCGAGACCACTCGGGGTCTAGAGACTCTGGGGTGTAGTGTGTGTGGGGGTCTAGAGACTCAGGGTGTGTGTGTAGGGGTCTAGAGACTCAGGGTGTAGTGGGTCTAGAGACTCAAGGTTTAGTGGGTCTAGAGACTCTGGGTGTGTGTGTAGGGTCTAGAGACTCAGGGTGTAGTGGGTCTAGAGACTCAGGGTGTAGGGGGTCTAGAGACTCTGGGTGTAGTGGGTCTAGAGACTCAGGGTGTAGTGGGTCTAGAGACTCTGGGTGTGTGTGTAGGGGTCTAGAGACTCAGGGTGTAGTGGGTCTAGAGACTCAGGGTGTAGTGGGTCTAGAGACTCAGGGTGTGTGTGTAGGGGGGTCTAGAGACTCAGGGTTTAGTGGGTCTAGAGACTCAGGGTGTGTGTGTAGGGGGGTCTAGAGACTCAGGGTGTGTGTGTAGTGGGTCTAGAGACTCTGGGTGTGTGTGTAGGGGGGTCTAGAGACTCTGGGTGTGTGTGTAGGGGGGTCTAGAGACTCTGGGTGTGTGTAGGGGGGTCTAGAGACTCAGGGTGTGTGTGTAGGGGGGTCTAGAGACTCAGGGTGTAGTGGGTCTAGAGACTCAGGGTGTGTGTGTAGGGGGTCTAGAGACTCAGGGTGTAGTGGGTCTAGAGACTCAGGGTGGTGTGTGTGTAGGGTCTAGAGACTCAGGGTGTGTGTAGGGGTCTAGAGACTCTGGGGGTGTGTGTGTAGGGGGGTCTAGAGACTCAGGGTGTGTGTAGGGTCTAGAGACTCTTGGGGTGTGTGTGTAGGGTCTAGAGACTCTGGGTGTAGTGGGTCTAGAGACTCAGGGTGTGTGTGTAGGGTCTAGAGACTCAGGGTGTAGGGGGTCTAGAGACTCAGGGTGTAGTGGGTCTAGAGACTCAGGCTGTAGTGGGTCTAGAGACTCTGGGTGTAGGGGGTCTAGAGACTCTGGGTGTGTGTGTAGGGGTCTAGAGACTCTGGGGGTGTGTGTAGGGGGGTCTAGAGACTCTGGGATCTAAGGAAGAGGGGGATCGCAACGGAGAGCCCCCCCCCCCTGCCCCCCCCCTGCCCCCCGCCAATGCGATCAGACCAGCGCCACCGCTCTCAGGTTGCCGTGGTGGTAGCCCCGCTGCACTCCACGGGTCTATGGCAGGGCTGGCCGGTCGCTCCACGTAGTAGGTTAGCAGCACCCCCACGTGCTGTAGATGGTACGGATCAGGACATGGTATAGGGAGTCCCGCTGCCTGTAAGGATCAGGGTGCTAGGTAGTCCCCTGTGCTACCCCCGCTGCCTGTAAGGATCAGGGTGCTAGGCGGTCCCCCTGTGCTACCCCCGCTGCCTGTAGGATCAAGGTGGTAGGCGGTTCCCCTGTGCTATCCCCGCTGCCTGTAGGATCGGGGGCGCTAGGTAGTCCCCTGTGCTATCCCCGCTGCCTGTAGGATCGGGGGCGCTAGGTAGTCCCCTGTGCTATCCCCGCTGCCTGTAGGATCGGGGGCGCTAGGTAGTCCCCTGTGCTATCCCCGCTGCCTGTAGGATCGGGGGCGCCAGGTTACTCCCCGTTTGGCTGCAGGATTCAGGGTGCTAGGGTAGTCCCCCCCGTGTCCTCGCCGCCCATAGGATCAGGCCGGGGGGAGGTGGTCCCCTGCGGTACCCCCGCTGCCTGTAGGATCAAGGTGCTAGGGTGGTCGCCCCGTATCCTCGCCGCCTGTAGG